CCCCCGGAGCTCAGCTATCACTGCTGGGGGTCTACAGGTGTGGCACAGGTGAGACAACCTGCCCGAATCGCAGGGACGCCCCTCTGTGCCCTCAACCCCTCACCACACAGCACGGCCCAAGTTCTCATCACAAACCCGGAGCCACGGACCTGCATTTCCGGGGAGCGGTTCACAGGTATGAAGACGGCCGGCTTCGAGGGGGGCCTGGGCAGAAAGGAGGCTGCAGCCAGAGAAGCTGAAGGAGCTGCAGGAGTCCCGGCAGGAGCAGGTGGACCACTGGGCACCGGGCTCTCCCCTACGTCCCCCGGCTGAGCTGGTGGCAGACGCAGGGCCATCATCTCTGTACCAGCCTCCACCTGCTCAGGGTCCGGGGCCTCATCGGGCTCAGACTCCACTGAGGACTCAGACTCTTCTTCTGACTCCTGGAGGCGGCGCTTCCGGCGGGCCCCACTGAGGCTGCTGATCTTCTCCGGGCCCTGGGCCGTCACCTCGTCAGCCTTCCTGCCGGGAGAGCCAGAAATCAGACGCAAAGGCCCTGGGACGAACTTGAGGCAGCTGTGGATTCTAACACTCATCGGACGCCAGGACTCAAAGGCCATGCCCCTTCCCGCCTCAGGACCTTCGCACTTGCTGTTCCCCCTCCCTCCCTCACCTCTCAGGGACTTCTCCTGAAATACCTCCCCTTCTCCCTCCATCCCCTCCTGCCTAGTGTTCACCAGCACTAGATATATATGCACTAGCTTGGTTGCTGCCCATTGCCCCACCATTAAGGGAAGCTCATTTATTATTTTTTTTGGTGCACTGTTCTGTCCCCAGGACTAAGGAGAGCCCGGGACTAGTTTGCATTTAGTAAGCAGTCGTCAAATGAACAGCAATGCTTATGGGGACTGGGCAGGCACCAACCCAATGAGCAGAGAGAGCCGATGTGAGACGGCAGTGAGTTCGGGGCCTAGGGGAGGACCACAGGGGCTCCACCTGAAGCCAGATGTCCTGCTGGAATGCCAGCAGTACGTGTGGTCGAATCGTCCAACTGCTCACGACCAGGTGGGAATCTGGATTTGAACATGGAATCTCCTGATTCTTATATGTGGCTATACTGGCTCAAGTAGTGTCCACCGCCCACAAATTCATGTTCACTGCAGACTCAGAACGGAACCTCATTTGGAAACAGGGTCTTTGCAGATGTAAAGATGATGACGTCATACTGGGTGAGGGTGGGCCCTGAATCCAGTGACTGGAGCCCTCGGAAGGAAAGTGAGACACAGACACGCCGGGAGGATGCTCTGTGACAACGGAGGCAGACTCTGAGGTGGACGTGGGGGGTTCTAAAAGTCAAGTAATGGCAAGGACTGCTGGCCAGCACCAGAAGCTAGGAGAGAGGCTCAGAACAGGTTCTCCAGCCTCCTGAAGGAGCGAATCAGGCTGAGACTTTGATTTTTGATCTTGACACCCTGGATGCGAACACCTGTGCCTTACAGGGTATTTAGCAGCATCCAGAGCCTCCACCCACAGCACGTAGGCCCCACAAATGTGTTTCCTTCTAACGCTCCCCCCCAGGGAGACCCCGTCACCGGTGAGGGACAGGCTTCAGGAGGGGCGGCCGACTCACTTTTTGGTGTGGTACATGCGGTCCCCAGTGCCCAGCTTGGACGTGGTGTAATAGAGCCTCATCTCTGCTTCGGAAACCTGGACCTCACTCAGTTTCTGCAGCATCTGTGCACGCTGGGGAAGGACACAGGTGTGTTTAGACACGTGGAGGCATCCCAACCCCTCTTCTGCAAGGAAGGGAGACTCAACATAAAACTTCAGCATGGCCCACACCAACAGCCTTTTTAAACCGAAGGTCAAAGCACAGTTGCAGCCCCGGCTGGTGTGGCTCAGTTGGTTGGAGCGTTGCCGGTGCACCAAAAGGTCGCTGGTTCAATTCCCAGTCAGGGCACAGCCCTTTGGGGTGCATGTAGGAGGCAACTGATTGACGTTTCTCTCTCTCTCTTCCTTTCTAAAATCGACCAAAACATAAAAAGAAAACCGCAAATCGCAACTGCACCGTTTCATGGCATTCTTACGCCAACAGATGTGAGATGTGTGAGGTTGGGGTTGCTTTGCACTCCCTCACGGAGCCTGGGGTTGGATAAACAAGGCTCTCTCTGCATCAATATATCATAACACGCTGTCTTGAATAAAGCAGCACACGCCCATTGGTTTCTTCCGCCCGGCAAGTAATTCATGCTTTTCTGCTTTATTCTTCTTGAAAATATACATATTTCACATGTGCTTCTATGCATATCTTTCACAAGCAGTAAAAAATTGGTTGTGAGGTACAGAGCAGCAGGAAAAAGTACTGCACGGGGTTTTATATGAACACACAGACGGCGAGTACTCTGGGGAATGCGCGTCAGTGCCACTAACAGGAGACCTGTGACCTGTGTGACCCCTGCTGGAGACACAGCACCCTGCGGGGTGACCTTGACAGGAGGTCAAACAAGAATCGGTGAGGCCCGGAGATCAGGGTTCCTCAGTCTCTCCTTGTTACTGGCATTTTGGGACTGAGATCCCGGGTCTCCCTCTGGTCTGGAGCCGTGTGCAGACCCCGACGGGGTGGGCCTACCTGGGTCTTTTTCTCCTTCTGTTCTAGGATTTTCTGCAGCGCTTTCCGCTCTTTCTTGGTCAGAGGCCTCTTCTTCTTGGGCAGTGGAGGGGCCTTGGTCTTTTTTTTCTTCTTCCCGGGCAGGACGAGGGCATTGCTGGCATCGAATCCTTTCAACGTGTCCCTATCTGAAAAGACACGTGTGCCTGACCCATAGCTCTGGGGAACAGGGAGTTCAGATGCTGGCAGTACCCAGGGTTCCCTGTTAACACTGGTTTCCTCTGGGGCCCTCTAGCCCCTTGTGTGAGTCTCCTCTGAGCACCCACACAGGATGGGGGTGCAGGCCCAGTCCCTCACGTGTTCACTCAACTCCCATCTGACACCTGCCACAGGTCAGGCCCTGCTGTGAGCCAGGGTGTCTCCATCCTCGGGTAGGGGGAGAGGATAGGGGGTCCCAACAAGGGGGTACACACTGTAACAGCGTGTCCTCCAGAGTGGGGGCCTGCTCTCAGTGGGTGTATGAGATCAAAGCAATTCTCATAATAATATTATGATGTACTGAGTTTGCATCATATCTATTTTTAAATGTCACAGTCTGAAAGTACACCATGTAGACCCAAATTCAGCGATCAGGTGATCCTGCTCCCGATTTTATTTTTTAAATATATTTTTATTGATTTTAGAGAGAGTGGAAGGGGAGAAGGATAGAGAGAGAGAGAGAAACATCGACGATGGAGCCGCAACCTGGGCAGGTGTCCCAATAGGGACTCGAACCTGCGACCTCTTGGTTCATGGGCTGACTCTCAACCACTGCACTACACCAGCCAGGGCCTGGCCCCCATTTTAAAAGTTCACCTTCACTCAGCATTCTGGTTGCCTTCAGGTCTTGACTCAACGCCTTCTCAGCGAGGCCTTCCCCATCCACGCGAGGCAGCACCCCGTCTCGCCCAGCCGCCCCTCTGCTTTATCTCCTTAGTACTTACATCCCCACGACACCGTGTATGTTTTACAACTTTGCCTTTGCCTGTCTCCTCCCAGGAGCTGCTAACTTTGTCAGGGCAGGGATTTCCCCCCCCCCTTAAGTCTCCTAGGAGATCCTGGCACTTAGTAGGCGCTCCTGCTAAAAGGAGTGTCCAGCAGCCTGGGGCTGAGCAGGCACAGGTCCTGGGTTCAAACCACAAACTCAGGGCAAGGAGATTACATGTCATCGAAGCCATCAGGCCACGTGAACTTACTTTCCTGCCCCAGTTTCCCCCGATGTTAGGCTAGGGCTGGACTCCACGCGAGGGAAACCCCAGGGTGCACCGTCCCAAATTCAGTTAAAATTAGATGTCACTGCCCCCCTCCTTGGCAGTGCCCTACAGGGGGAGCCCTCTGGCCGCCGAGCCCGGGGTCGTGGAAGCGGGGCGCACCCGGGAGCCCTCCAGCCCCCACTGGCCAGCCGTCCCCCCCCCC